AAAAAAAAAAAAAAGAATCACCTGAAGGACATGTTAAACAAGATGGCTGGATCCAATCCCTAGAGTGTCTGATCCAGTAAATGTAAGGTGGGGTCTGAGAATTTGCATTTCTAATGAGTTCCAGGGAAGCGGATGCTACTGGTCTTGGGTGGACACTTTGAGAACCAATGATTCATAAGACCCATGCTCTCACCCCCACCCACCATTTCCCATCAGTAACCACATCCTTCAGCTGTTCTCATGCCATCTCTCCTGGTAACACTCTCCTGTCATGAAGCCCAAGTCTTAAACATTTTCTCCTTCTCCTTCCCCCTTGTCATGTGCGCATCCCAGAGAGTCCTTCTGGCAGGGGCTGAGCTGCTCTGAAGGGGGTGCAGACTTTCTCTACACGACCCCCTGGTTCTGTTCAGATGACTGCCTCCTGGTCCATACACAGGTTCTGACAGTTACATGTTCTATAATTCCCATTCTTCTCAATAGTTTATGATCCACAGTCGAATGCCTTTGCACAGTCAATAAAACACAAGTAAACATCATCTTGCTTTTCAACCAAGATCCATCTGACATCAGCAATGATTTCCCTTAGTCATAGACTATTGCCTGAATATTGCCTGAATTTCTGGCAGCTCCCTGTCCATGTATTGATACTATCATTTTTACATTTATCTTCAGCAAAATTTTACTTGCATGGCATATTAGTAATATTGTTTGACAATCTCCACAGTCTGTTAGGTCACCTTTCTTTGGAGTGGGGATCAATATAGATCTCTTCCAGGCAGCTGAGCAGGTAGATAGATGTCTTTTTGGCATAGACCAATGTGATGTAAAATAGCCTTTTTGTAATATATGCAAGGGGAAGTCAACTAAGGCTACAGCTTTTAAATGCAGTTTATTCAAACAGTGTTTAAATATGTCTCCACAATCAGTGAGTGCCTGCAGACAAGTTCTCTCAGGAATACACTTGTCTTGGTCTCATTAGGATACCATAAAAAAAAGGACACCTCTTTTTTTTTTTAGGGCACCTTTTTTGTGCCATGAAAAAAATAAGATTTTGAGGTCGGGACCAATATAAAATTTTTACCAAAGCTCAGTGACATCTTCCCAAGTCGTTGTAACCTTGCAGCAAGTTTGCAGAATGCTGTCCCACAAAAAGCAACCGATTCTAAGATGAAGCAGGCATCTTAAGGAAGGTCAGAAAGACCTCGACTTGGAGAAATGGAAAACTGTGGCTGGAGTCCAGAAACTGGAGGGATTCCAGAGAATGACCATTGATGCAGTAGCTACTGAAGCTATCATCCCACAAGGTTGATGTGTTAGTCTGTGTGGACTAGAGAAACAGATCCAGAGAAAACCATGTGTGTAAGAAAGAGCTTTATAGAGAGCAGTTGTATATTAAGAAAACATCCCAGCCCAGGCCAGATCAAGTCCATAAGTCCAATATTAGAAAGTCTGATACCAGTCTATAAAGTCCTCTTCAGACTCATGCAACACATGCAATGACACCGAATGCAGGAAAATCAAAGGCCAATGGGTGGAAAGTCTGGTGGATCCAGTGGTGGTAGAAGCCTCTCGGTGCTGGC